TAATTACAAATATACCCTTTTCTTCTTCCTTGCCCTAATTTGCCTTTTCCCTTTCAAACCACAGTAGATCAGAGGCCGGCCTTTCCACTAGAAAATAAAAAATGCTGCACAAACTCTTACTGTGGTTTGAGCTGGTGAAACAGCCCAAATATCCACAAACCCTGAACAAATGGAAGCCTTAACATCCAGCCTTGCGGATGTGATGGTATCCACCCTCATCGATTTTATTTCTGATCGATTGTCGGCTTCGGAGTTTCTCAACTTTGCCCGGAAAGAGCAGTTTTTGTCCCAACTCAACATGTGGGAGAATCTTCTGCCCAAAATCGATGCCATTATCTGCGACGGCGGTAATTTTCACCATTGCCGGCTTCCTGCTCTGACTCAGTCTGTAAAAGAGATACTCGTACTGCGCTCCATCGCCGATAGAAAAATCGATTACATGAAATTTGTTAGAGTTGGACTGGCCGTCGAGAGTGGCTTCCAGAATCGCAAGATTGGCAGCCATGAAACCAAGCTTGAAGCACCAGGAGAGATCAAAAAGAGACTGTGTTGCCGCACCGTGTTCCTGGCTGAGCAACTCTGTAACCGGGGGTGGGTTCTCAACCCGGTTAACACGTGATTTCAGGGCCAATGTCATATACTCCATCCGCCTCTGCTCTGAATTACCTTTTGGGTTCGAGGCTTGAGCCAGTCGCGTGGAGATCTCGTTAAAGACGTCCATTTTCCCCTCTGAAATTGCCGATGCAGCCTCTATTACGGTCTGCTTCGAGCAGTTCGTAGCCGGGGAAACCACCGATGACGAGGAGGAAGACGTCGATGTAGAGGAGGATGTGGGCGAGGTGGAAATTGTCTGCGGACTCGTGCTGATCAGGCTCTGTATTGTCTCTGACCACTCGCTGTTAGTATTCGTAATCACAGAAACGGCATCCCCTTCATCGTCGTTGTCGTCCAACAGCTGTTTCTCCAACTCCTGAAGCCGATTCATCATCTTCTTCTCCGTCTCCGGCGGCGCAACCCGTATTTGACCCGGGTTCACATACGGAACCCCTGGCAAAGCACTCAGATTCTCCGGCTGTGTTGTGGGCACAGACCCGGCCATAGAAATAGGCTGCGGCCTCAATTGCTGCAAAAGCGACGCCCCATATCGCTGCGACATGGAAACAGACGAAACAGGGGAACACAAATTCCTGGAAAACATAGAGGAATCAATAGGAGAAAGCGGAGAAATCGGCGACGCATGTTGTTCCATCCTCGGCTTAACAGCCCGGAGGAAGATACTACTCTGCGTTTGGAAGTCACCCAGATTTCTCTTCCCAATAAAACCAGGTGCTGGTTGGTTCATGATCTGCGGCGTCGAGTCCATAAACATCCCCGGGATTTGCGTTCGGTAAGGCACCGCCTGCTGGTTATTTCCCATGGTCCCAGAATTCCCCATAGATCTCCCCGGGATTCCTCCGTAAAAATCCGGACCACCGCCAGAAAACCCAGATGCCATCCTTCTTTCCTTCCTGCCCAAAACGCGCTCTACTTCTTCTCTTGTTGACGAATCTCGGGTTTTTGGCAGGGAGCAGGATAAACAAGTCATTCTTGAACGGTTAATGGATGGTGAAACTGGTGTGATTTCAATCGTCGG